TGGTGACGAGGGATTGAGAAAAGGAAATAAAGACAGAGACACAAGAGTAGAAGTTACAGCATGGGTCCAGGGGACAACGCAAGCGTGGGAACCGTGTTAGCCACGAGCTCTGGGCTCCAAACGCTTTTATTAATTGCACAATCTCATTGATCTTACGGGCGTGGAAGGGGAGGGCAAAGGAGTAGGTAAGAGAGCGGGGTGGAGAGCACTTGAGATCCTTCTAAGACACGCTGAACAGTGCTCTGAGCATTTAACTGCACTCAAGATTCTTCTAAGACATGCTAAACTAGTACTCTGAGCTTGCCTTTGTTATTAGGGTGCGGCTGCATCAGAAGTATAGGGATGAGGAGCCACCTGGTCTGACCACACCCAATGCATAAGGGGCTTTTATCTCCCCAGCACTGAGGACATAGAGCAATTAAAATCACTCCATATTCCGAGAACCTAGGCAGAGCCTGAGGCATTCCGTGATCTCTGCCCTGCAAGGCTTTTCTCCTCCTTGCCAGCTCCCATCTGCAAACACCCTCCCAGATCTTGTGAGCAGAGGTCGCCTCCCTTCTCAGAGATCTTTGCATAAGCCCTCTACGTCGCCCTCATGCAGTCCATGTTGAGAAGGCATTCCTGGGACCAGAGCAGTATTGCCTGCTCTGCAACCACCCCTCGGTGTTCCCCAGTGTTACCGCGCTCTCGGATGGTCTTTACCTTAGGCCTGTTGCCATTTGATTTCTAATTAACTGCACCAATAATATAGTTTAGTTCAGTGCGGATACTTCAGAGTACTCTGAGCCAAGCAAGCTTATAATTATTTAAATCAAATTAACACAGGTCTACCCCTGGCCATCCTGACCCACAGGTTATAACAGAACCAGTCAAAGATATGTTAAGAGGAGACATCAGAGAGAGGCGACAGTAGGAGTAAAGGTGCGGGCATGTGGCATTGCCAGGTGTGGGTGCGAAGCTCTGTCAGTGCAGTGTTGTTGGAATGACATCCAATGTGGGGTGCCACAGGAGGCTGGAGAGAGCCAGTGGGGAGTGGGCAGGTTATGAAACGTTATGAAACTTGGATGTAATGCTGTGGGTGATGCTGATGCAGTAAAGGGACGTGAGCTGGTGGGGGATGTGGCATTTTGGAGAGAATCACTCGCTGACCTTGTGAAGAACGGAGCTGAGGCATCAAACTAGATTCAGGAAAACCAGCGAGGAGACAGTTGCTATGGTGGTGGCAAGAGATGGAGACCACTGGAACGAGGGCAGTTGTTGAAGGGATGGAAAGAAAGGGACTGATTCGACCCTGATGTGGGAAAGGAGCTTGGCAGGATTTGGTGGTTAATTGGATTCGAGGAGTGAAAAAAGGGGAGACACAGGAAGCTCCCAGGTGGATGGGGAGGCCATGGTCACAAGACAGAAACTATAGAAGAAAAGCCGGGCTTGGCAGAAGGCAGTGAGCTCGTTTTAGACTCATGTAGTTTGAGGTGTGTCTGTCTCCTTCAGGAGATTCCAACCAGTAGTCAAACATGTGTTTGAAGCTTGGTGGGAATGGGGAGAGGGCCTGGACTAGAGGTATAAAATTTGTGGTCGGCCGAGCCCAGTGGCTCACACCTGTAATCCCAGCACTTTGGGAGGCTGAGGCGGGTGGATCACAAGGTCAAGAGATCAAGACCATCCTGGTCAACATGGTGAAACCTCGTCTCTACTAAAAATACAAAAATTAGCAGGGCATTTGGCACGTGCCTGTAGTCCCAGTTACTTGGGAGGCTGAGGCAGAAGAATTGCTTGAACCCAGGAGGCAGAGATTGCAGTGAGCCGAGACTGTGCCACTGTGCTCCAGCCTGGTGACAGAGCAAGACTCCGTCTCAAAAAATAAATAAATAAAAAATAAATAAAATTTCTGGTCATAAACTAGAAGGCAGTGGTAGAAATTATGATAATGGATAAAATCACTAGGGTGAGTATGTGGTGGGAGACGGACAGTGAGTTGGACTAGCTCTCTGGGGAACGCCAGCACAGAAGGAGCCGGCAAAGGAAGAAGAGATCATGAAACCGAGTGAGAACAGCAAGAGCATGTTGGAAGGATAAGCCTTGCTCACATGTGGCTTCCTCAGGTCCAGCTTCCCTGACGCCCTACCCACACCAGGCCTGATACTGCCATCCCCTCTAATAAGTCCGCTGTGTTTGTCCTTTACAGAAGTTGCCTTAATTATAAATTAACACCAGTTTTTGTTGTTGCTTAATGTCTATTTTTCCTACTAGAACATAACCTCCATGAGGGTGGGGAATTTTATCTCTCCTCTTCCTCGGGGAATCCCCCGGGGCCCAGCAGGTGCCTGGCAAATAGTCGTTGCTTAATAAATATCTGTGAAATTAAAGAATCATGTTGCAGACTCCCAGGGGGCAGAGAGTTTCAAAGAAAGTCACTCTTAGTAACCAGGTGGCCTATGTAGTAACCAAATCAAAGTATGAAATATGCTTGTTAAATGTTTAAAATTTCCTGTGTAAAATAAATTAGTTAGATTTTTATAAAGTTTTTGAACAATTATTTCATACTTCTTTTGGAGATGATGTGAAGCCTCCAGATACTAGGAGAGAGGAGAAAGGCAGGCAAACAGCATGCGTAGTGTGTATTCGTTTGTAACGTGTAGTTAAGAGGTGACATTCATTGCTCTCCAAAGCTCTGTCTGGTCTCATGGTGGGGGACAGGTGGTCAGGCTGCTTCATGAAAATGTACCTGGTTATTCGACCAGGAACACAAATTATGATGTGAATATGGTTGCAATGTAGATTTTTTACTGGCAACAATTTTGTGATAAGTTTTATAAGAAAATGCAGATATTGAATTAAGAAATAAAATTATTTCATAATCCTTAATTCATAATGTAATTCTCATATGCATCTATTACATGTAATTATTAAATACTTATATACATGTTATATATTAAAATAATATTTTATTAAATTACTATTAATATTTAAATATTTAATATTTATTAAAATATTAATACATGTTATTTATAAAATCCTTAAATACATATGTTACATGTTATTATTTATTAAAATGCTAACAATTCATTGGATCCTAATGTAAAACACTAAAACTCTTACAAATAAATTTAAATAATTTTATCAATATTTATGAGAGGCCTCATCTGTGGTCATTGAGGATGATGCAGAGAAAAAAACCATGTAGGTGGTGAAAGGCCAGTATCCAGGTTTGGACACACACATTTCAGAGATTTGGGTCTTTGTCTCCCCTTCTTTCCCACCTTTGCCTCTGTCCTTACCCATCTGCAGACTTAGGCTTGAGACTTTTTGTATAAAGGAATAAAACCACTAAATCTACAATGCTGTCCAAAGTGAAAGTCTAGGAGACATAGCACAATCCTTCATATGTGCACCAAGTTTCAAAACATATCTAATCCCTTTCTGAGAAAATTTTCTGACGGGAGGAGAGAATAAAAGGGACTCGGTAGGGAGAGGAGGGATACCAAAGCAGGAGTCCAAGAGTGTGAAGAGCCACATTGTTCCTGTGGGTACGCTGGTTGTATTAGGGTTCTCTAGAGGGACAGAACTAACAGGATGTATGTATTTATGAAAGGGAATTTATTAAGGAGAACTGACACACAATCACAACAGTAGGCTGTCTGCAAGTTGAGGAGCAAGGAAGCCAGAGGTCAATCAGTCCTCAAAACCTCAAAATTAGGGAAGCCAACAGCACAGCCTTCAGTTTGTGGCCAAAGGCCCGAAAGCCCCTGGCCAACCACTGGTATACGTCTAGGAGTCCAAAAGCTGAAGAGCTTGGAGTCCGATGTTCAAGGGCAGGAAGCATCCTGAGAGCACAGGAGAAAGATGGAGGCCGGAAGACTCAGCAAGGCTCGTCCTTCCACATTCCTCTGCCTGCTTTATCTTATCTCTGCTGGCAGCTGATTAGAAGGCGCCAACCCAGATTGAGGGTGAGTTTTCTTCTCCCAATCCACTGACTCAACCGTTGATCTCCTTTGGCAACACCCTCATAGACACACCCAGGAACAGTACTTTGCATCCTTCTATCGAGGTGAGACTTAATGTTAACCATCACACTGGCTGAGTTCAGATTGCAGCTCTGCCTCTTACGAAGTGTTGAACACATCCTTTCAGCAGACCAGACTTCAATTTCCTCATCTGAAAAGGTACTTAATACATAATAATACTTACCTCAATAATGTTTTTTAGAGTGTTAATCAGCTAATATGTGTAAAGCAACTGGAACAATGCTTAGCAAACAGTAAGTACTATAAAAGTATTAGCTTCTGTTATTATGTGCAATTTAGCCCAGGCTGTGGAGTTTTGTACAGTTTTATGTACCCATTTCCCAGATCCCGCTGTCCTTTGGGAATGGTTTGCTATGGTCTGCTATGTTTGTGTTCCTTGCAAATTCCTGTGTTGAAATCCTAACTCCTGGGGTGATGGTATTAGGAGTGGGGAGCTCTGGGAGGTAATTAGGTCCTTATAAAAGAGGCCCCAGGGAGCTTGTCTGCCCCTTCTACCACACGAGGACTGAGCCAGAGGGCACTATTTAGGAACCAGGAAACTGACCCTCATTAAACACCAGGCACTCTGTCAGCACCTTGATCTTGGACTTCCAGCCTCCAGAACTGAGAAATAAATTTCTGTTGTTCCTAAGCTTCCCAGTTTACGAGATGTTATAGCAGCCCGAACATATGCAAACATGGTTACGATGCAGACCTCCATGGCAAGCTCAGTTTGCTGTCCCCCCATCTCCCATTCCTGATGTTGGGAGTCTGTCGACTCTTAGGAGGTGGTTTTGTTTTTTGTTTTGTCCTCCTTGTCCAGCCTACAGTTCTTTCTCCTAGGACTTTTAAGCCCTGGTTAAGTCACTGAAAAGCACCAATTACAGATTTACATAACTGTGTCAGGAGTCTTTCTGCGAGGGATTTGCTCACCCCTCAGAGTCAGTTGCCCAGGGAAACAAGCTGGCAATGTCATAAGGCATCCACTTCCAGTTACTCCTCAGCCCCCTTCTGTGGAGCCTAAGTCAGAGCCCAGTCCTGCACTCTGCCTAGCCCAGCCATGGCTCATCTTATTCATGGCAGAGCAGGGACCCTTACCCTCTCCTAGCAATGTCTAAAGCCAGGTATGTTGTGGTCGTAGCCACAGATCTCCTCCTATGCTGCTTCTTCCCTCCCACGGCACAGAAATGCCTATGCAAATGGAGTGCCTGGGACAGCCCCAGGTTACTTTTGGTTCTCTAGGGTATAGATACAAAACATTAAAAAAAAAAAAAAAAAAAAAAAAAAAGCAAAACGAAAAAGAAATCACTGGAGCTGCTCCCTGGAGGATCAAAGGTTGTTGTAGGCTTTACACTGTGCATGCCCTAAGCACACCCATAATCTGGTTTATCAACCTGCTCCCCCTTTTCTCAAAAGATAAGGTTGCAACTTCTTTGTTATGCCTAAACGAGAAGAAAAGAGAAGACGGCCATGGCAGTATTTCCTTAGATTTTCCTGGTATTTCATTTAACCATGCCCCTGCCCCAGTGCCCTAGTCAGACAGTTTCATGTGCAGCTCTTGAATTGCTACCTGCCCTTCTCAAGTCTACATGGTGAACTTTATGCAAATCTACAGATTATCTATAAATGCAGTCATCTGAAAACCAGCAGTAATCCTGCCTCGGAAGTTGATCAGGAAAGGAGCTTAAAGAGAGCAAAATTCCAAATTCATTGGAACTCTCAGTCCCAGAGGGGTGTGGTTCACAGCTCTCTGGCTTGTAGGACTCCAGCTGTGACCCACGGAAGGACACCAGAAGCCACTCAAGACATCCACAGTGCCCTGGTCAGCACTAGCCATGACGAAGACTTTTACATGCATATACCACTTCCTTGTTCTGAGCTGGTATATTTTCCTCAATTATTACATCGCACAGGATGAAACAGACGAAGTGAAATCCAAAATCTTTGCAAATGGTGGCAAGTGGAAATACATGACGCTGCTTAATATGGTAAGTCCATATGGCCGTACCAGGAACCGATCCATTTCTCTAGCATATCAGTGCTGCTACACACATCACCTTCGATTTTATTAAATACACAATTTCATTGTTTGTCTTCCTTCTTCACCATTTATGAGTTTTGGGTTTTTCATTTACTCAACTCTTTGCTCTGATAAACCCAATTTGGAAATTATCTATAGTTACGTTTCTGTGCTGGCTCATTGCTAAATGCTCTCTTGAAGAAAAAAAAAAAATCTCGGAGCGCTTTTCAGATGAGTTCAAAGAGGGGACCATGCTAATGGTTTCACTGTGGGATTAACTACAAATGCAGGAGGCATTTTGAACTTTGCTTGGGGAAGTCTGTGAGGAGAAGGCAGAGTGGCGTATGTTGTGTAGGAAGTGTAATTTCCAATGAAGGAATAATGCCATTTTACAGCACACACAGACTAACAGATTTATCTAAGAAAAGCAAACACATTTTGCCATGTTCAGCCCCCACCTCAATTTTTTATAGGTTCAGTCTCCATCTTAAAGGACAGATCACCCAACTGAATGGCAAATACACATTTTCAACTATTTAAAAACCAATCTTATGACTTAATCCTTTCTTGTCTTCCTAACTCGGCTGACTGCATTCTGATGAAGTGTGAATCAATGGGAGGAAAGCAGATTACAAAAAATATTTGAGGGATAGGTTAAAAAAAAAAACTTTTCAAGTTAAAAGCTAAGAATGGGGAATCATTTGGGAATGTGAATTAACGTTTGAGGTTTTTGACTAAAATCTTGGGTGCCACATAAACATCTGATTTCAGAATCATAATCCTTATTTCACAAGCAGATAATTAATGTATGTGGTTAGAAATTGTGACACTCTGAAATGCTAAGGAGGTGGAAGTGGCCATAGTTCAAATCAAAGAGGGCTGAAGGGACCTGGAACCCTGAACACAGCTCTAGTATGTTTGAAAATTTCAAGGTGACTGTTTGTTTCAATCAGGGAATTTTATTTAAAAAAAAAACAAACAGAAACAAAACAAAAAATGCTTTTTGTAGAACTAAGAGTACCACAGTAAACCACAACAATAACAGCAACCACACACACACACACACACACCCACAAACCCAAGATTTGTGTCTCTATTGGCTTTCTATGAAAAACAGTCAACTAAAAGGGAGGTGTGTCTGTAGTCAGGACTGATTTCCTAATCAAATTCAATTCCAATATGAATGTTCTACCTTACACTATGTACAGCTAAAAATAGATTTATCACCACACTCATTAACCAGCTCCCTTAATTCTTCGTATACACACACAGACACAAAACTGATCCTGACTTTTTTTAAAATTCTAGTTCACTTACATTTCCAAGAGCCCTCATTTTCCAAGAGTGAGGAAAGTCTCTTATCTCGTCAATGACACTATCATTTCTGAGTGTTAATCCTAATTTTCCTTCCCTGAGTGATCAGCTACCAAATCCTATTAGTTTTTCCTTCTACTAACTTCATCCCTTCTTCTTCAAGCTTACCGTCTCTCCCAATCCAGGCTCTTATTAGACATACCGGAATGACCACATGAACTCTTTACTGTCCTCTCATGGTCCGATCCAGCCACTCAGATTCCAAATTAATCTTCTCAAAGCACTGGTTTTGGTTTGTTTTTTCATACCAGGACCTGTATCTAGAAGCGTGGTCTGCTGCTCAGGAAACCACAGCGGCCAGCAACCTCCTGCCTCATGGACCCAATGTCAAGGAGCTCACCTGCCCAACCAGCCTTTCATGTTCCCTCTCCCCAGAAGGCTGGCCTCTTCTGCAGAAACAACTGCATCTTACCAGTATTGGTCCCTGGGCTTCCTGCTGTCACTTCTCTGCCCAGTAGTGTTTCTATCCTTAAAAGAAAGGCCTACTTACCGCTCTCCACATTGCTTCCTTCATAGAACACTGGGAATCACATATACTCCCCCCAAATCTTTGCTGGTAAACTGCAGCCCAAATTTCCTTTTCCTTTCTCTGATTTTCCCAGCATCTCTCGGTCTCTGCTGATTTATGTACAGTATTGTTTTCTCACTCCGTCCTCTCTCCCTGCCACGTGAGTCTTAACATTCCAATCAAACTTTGGCTCTAAAACAGGAGTTTTTTCCTCCTAGGTCCTTGCCAACCCTAACTGTCTATATTTCTACCTTGAATTCAGCACAGTGGGTGGTACAGGATACTCACATAATAAAAAGCTACCACTTGGTATGTTGACTTGACCTCAGCCTTTCTGCACCCTAGAGCAGTCTACCCCTTCTGGTATCTTCTGGCCCTCATCAATAAGCTGACAGGGGCTACCTGTGGTGATTTTCTTCTTTCTGAGCTCCATTAGGAGTCATCTTGAAAGCGTAACTTAACGAAATGCTTCCCAACTGGTAAAGATGGGTTGAGTGTATTTCAGAGGATCAATTTAATGATAGATTTCAAATATGTTGCTTAAGGTGAAATTGGACCTGAAAATGTCTAGCTCTTGAGATCTCATAGGCTGATTAATGGTTGTGTTTCCTAATGATTAGTGTTTATTCATGACTAATCAATTGATGGTTGTGTTTATTAAGTCATAAAAGTCTCACAACTTGCTGTCACATTCTTATATTTTGTTTTTCCTCAGTTTGGGGAAGTTAGTATCCAATCCTGCTTGCTAGAAAATTTACACGCCTCCTTGTAAACAGCTTGAATTTCTAATTGGCTTAGTATCAATTGTGTCCCCTTGGTAAGAGCAAAGCCCACGTTGGTGCTAGTCGGCATTGTGAGCATTGCCCCAGTTCCCCTTGAAGCTATCCCAGGGGACTCGAAGGGGAGGCAGACAGGAGATGCTCTGAGTTACTCCCGGGATTGGTGGTAGTGGCTAAGGTGCCACTGAGAATTGGTCGGGGTGACCCATCATTTCTGACTAAGGAGAATAAAGGTAGGAGAGGACAGATAGGAGACTCTGCCTAATTAGAGAGGAAACTGGCCTCAGAGAAGGGGCCACTGATTCCCTGCTGGGAGGGAGAGGCAGTGTCTCACAATGGTTATAATTGCCATCTTTGGGCGTGGCTCTCTGGGTTGGTACCTCAGTCCTACTGCTTACTGGCCCTGAGATCTTGGGCTAGGCACTTCTTTGTGTCTTCCATTTCCACATTTGTCAAATAGAAATAAAAATAGTACTTAACCATAGGACCGCCATGAGGAATAAATGATCCAACAGGTGGGAGGCGCTTAGAAAGACATCAGCATGGTGTTAGGCGGTGGACGGTGGGGAGAGAAGATGGGGAGGGGACTTCTCTGGGTAGAGATGGTGATGCAGAAGGGTGATTTAGTAGAACATCAGTCTCCTCACTGAGCACCTAGGTTGGTGGTAGATGAAGGTCAGCAGGAGTCTTTCACCCCCTTACCTTTCATGGCTGCTGTTTCTCCCTCCCTGAGCTGCATGTCCCGTCTTCCCAGCTGGAAAGAACCACTGTCGAGCCACTGCTCTCCCTGCTGTAGCTGCCCACAGGCACCAGGCAGTCCTGGTGGTAGAGTCTGCAAGCTCCAGCAGAAAGCAGCCAGCCCTGCAGAGTGGGGAACCCCAGAGGCTGGGCATGGAGACAAGGCAGTGCCGGGCGTGTCCTCAGGCTGCTCAGGTTGGCTCAGACCATCCAATGCCTGAGTCCTCCACAAATGTTGTGCCCCTTGCTCTCTATCCACTCCAGTTCCATCTAGGGACTGTCCCTGATCCCAGGGAATATGAGCTAGTGGGGGTTAGGGCACGGCTCAGCAGCCATAAGCTGGCTTGCAGAATTCACTCAGTTTATTAGGGTTTCCTCTTTTTTTTTTTATTTATTTTTTATTTTTTGGGGGGGACGGAGTAGTCTGACTCTGTTGCCCAGGCTGGAGTGCAGTGGCACCATCTCAGCTCACTACAACCTTTGCCTCCCATATTCAAGCAATTCTCCTGCCTCAGCCTCCTGAGTAGCTGGGATTACAGGTACGCGCCACCATGCCCAGCTAATGTTTTGTATTTTTAGTAGAGACGGGGTTTCATCATGTTGACCAGGATGGTCTCGATCTCTTGACCTCGTGATCCACCCGCCTCGGCCTCCAAAAGTGCTGGGATTACAGGCTTGAGCCACCGTGCCCGGCAGGGTTTCCTCTTTTTAAAGATGAACTTCCTTTTGAAACATTGTTGGGGTGGGGCCGCATAACTGGGATCTCCAGGGGAGATTCTGAGCGGGCCCCTCCCTCCCCGCATCCCTGACACTCCCTTCAACAACAGAAGCGTGACCTTTCCCTCCCTTTTCATTAGTTGCCCAAGCCCCAGGCAGCTCCATTGTCATCACCCTAAATTTCTCTTGACAACAGCGGCAATACCACATAGGTCTTCGGGGATGCTGGCCCAGGGCTGGGGGAACAAAGGACCTGGGAGGCCTCGATGGGTCTAAACTCCAAGGCAGCTTGTGAACAGTGAGAAGATGGGGTTGAATGTATAGCATGGCACCCACTTCAACACTTGGGGGACAAAACTTAAGTAAACTATAGCACTCTTAAGCTCAATGGAGTCAGAAATACACTTGACTATTTCTGCCTCACAAAGACGTGCTTCAATAGCTGAAAGGGTAAGGACTGATAGAACTAGGTGACAGTCACCACCAGCACCCGAAATAAAGTGGCTGCAAGTTATTGAGCAACTATGACAGCATTTTGGTAGGTTCTTTGGATGCAGTATAGAGATGAGTGATTGAAGGCCTGCCTTCTGAAGCCAGAACGCTGGCTGTGCTGACTTGCTGTGTGATTTTGAGTGAGTTGCCTGCCTTCTCTGTGCCTCAGTTTTCTCATGCGTAGTGGATACTTCGATAAGGCACCCAGATCCTCATACCTCCCCAGCTCTGAGGTACTCAGCCCCAAGCAATCAGAAAGTGTTGGCTGCTGATGGTGCAAAGCTGAGCTCCCTCCCGGAATTGCACTCAGCAGAAGGGAGCTGCCTCCACCACAGTTTAGGCCCCTGCCTGGGGTTGCTG